ACCATAAAAATACAAAAAGACCCTTGATAACATTTACCAAAATACACATTTTTGTAATCTTATAAGTTAAGTGGAACCCACTAAAAACCACAGATATTATTTTCACAAATACCACTTTAAGAGCCTATTGATCATTTCTGCACTTTTTGATATGAACTATATTAGTTGCTATGATATGCCTGTTTCTTCATGATAAATCAAAGTTTAAAAGTGATTTTTCTTTTACAAGCTTTTTAAAAGCCCAAAGTGTTAAAGTCAACCTGAATGCATCTGTGGGAATGAAGCGTCCACAGAGCTGAAATGCTTCTTCCAGCGTTCGTGACACCTCTTCACTGGCTTCGTCGTCAGAGCTCATGTCCTCGATGCAGGTCAGCAGCTGGGACAAACGCTGGCGAAGAACAGTCTTTGACTTTGAGCCCTGAGATGCCGAGCTGCTCGTGCTGTCCGAGCGCACACGTGGACTGTCTGTTAAAAGTTCCATCTTTGAAGTTATGCCTTAAAAAAGGATCTTCCCGGTGTATGTGACGTAGTAAAGTTCAGGAGGTTCTTCAGTGCACAGCAGTATTGAAAGTAACTACTTAAAATAAACATAAAGAAAGAAGGAAAATCCTACGGAAGACAGACCTTTGGCTTAACTTCTCAGACTTCTGTGGTTGGGATAGTTGTAGCCATCTGAAGCGAGAGGCCACCGGTCCCTTTGTCCACTCGACTGAGAGTAATATGAACTGATTCCTAGTTAGTCAAATCTCTCTCTGCATGTGCTTCAGGCAGTTCTTCTTTAAAGTCCTCCAAAATAGCCAAGTTGAACAACTCAAACGCCGAGGGTGAAGGTTGCTGGTAAGGTCCTTTCTCTGGCAGAGTCTTGTGTGATCTGGCTCCGATGGAGCAGCGACTGACAAAGCAGTAGGGTTGACTCGGGAAAGCAGGCAAGAGTGAGTCAGATTTGGAGTATAATCGCAGGCAGGAGACAGGCATGTGAACGTGTGCGTGTCTTTTGCTGTGAGTGTGTGCAGCCAAAGAAAGTGCAAGAGGAGGCTGATCCTCCATCAGTATTGCTGCAAGACCTGGGCAAACCTTCAGCTTTTCTAAGAGGTTTACCACCGCTATTCTTCATCAGCTGAGCACATAGAACAATGCATGTGACCCACAATTACACCCACGCACCGGTGACGAGAGAAAATATCAGCTTTGGCTTCTTCTGGGGTAAATCTGGGCTCTTATTATATAGACGAAAGGTTATCTTTGTAAACCGGATAGAGGTCGGAGAGGAGTTACAAGCAGCTTTAGACTGACACACAGTTTTATGACAAAAACGCAAATCATTCTGATTATCAAGTGTTACAGCACACTTAATAGATGTGGGAGCATATTAAGCAATCAATAAGCAATCTGCAGCAGCGGCACTTTTTGCCTAATACTTAAATGGATTAAAGATTTAAAAACCATAAGTGCAGTGAGATAATTATTTAATTCCTAAAATTTTAACATCTAATTATCCACTAAACACTTTTCTTTGCAAAACGACTCGATTAGAAACCGCTGGATATTTCCTTACACAGGACTTAAAATGATCCTGAACTACACACTATACTATAAATGACAAACAAGTTTTTACTTTTCTGAAGCTAAAAGTGAAATTATTTCTAAAAAATAACGTGCTAATTGTTGTGTGTAACTGAATAAGTGTATGTAACTGAATGGTTTATTAATGACTGTAAAGCAGAAATATTAAAATATTTGGATGCCTGTGGAAAATACGAAGAAATGGGGACAGGAATAAAGAAAAGTATTTATAATCCTTGGTGTCCCAATCCTCCCTTTCAGTTCATGTAACAGTGTCACATGCAAAGACTTAGGGCAAATTCTTTAGCAAGCAGAGGTGTTAAGTAGATAATCAAGGGGCTCACTGGTCAGAAATGATGAATAGAATACTATTTAAGTTTTCTCGCAGATCTATTAATACTCAGATCCTGCAGCCACAAGTTACTTATAAAGACTATGAAACTGATTATGAAATGCAAGCTGGGAGGGTCTTTTGTTTTACTATCTCTACCTGTGATCTGTGCTTTCCCTCACATTTATTTCCATCTCTGACTTTGTTCCTACCTACTTTGTATCCTTTCATTTACATTAGGAGACAAAGACAGAATTGTGCTGGTCTTACCTGCACTTGTCTGTTCCACCCCTGCCAGTGTTCATTTTCTCCCCTGTAGACACACATACACACACAGGCTTGGGCAAAATGTAAGCAAATAGAAATGCCAGGCGCTTTATCCTTACTACATTCAGTTTGCTGGGAGCATAGACTAGAGCCGGGCAAAAATAACTAAACAGACAAAGCCAAACCTGACAGGGATGCCCCGGAGTCATTTCTCAAATTGCTTTTTAATCACGTCTAATCATGGTTAGCCTCAGCCGTGTTAAAGTGACAGTGCCCTGAAGATCACATGTAAACACAGGAAGACTTGAGAGTCATTTTTGGACATATTTTAAATAAAACTTTATCAAAAATGCTGTAGAAATTATTTGACTTTTTAAAGCTAATTATAAATACAGGGGGCAATGCATATTTGTTGCCGCTGGCTGCTCTGGTCTTTGAACTAGTTGTAAAGTAAGTAAAGAAAACAACAACAATGTCCTGGACTTGTGACTAGACTGTAACAGCAACACCTTGTCCTGTTTGTGTCAAAGTTGTCTAATAACTGTGGCTTTGTTATGATAGCTTAGATTATTTGTTTTTCTGGGTTTCTTCCTCACCACCAACCCTTGCTGATGGCTGTGATTGGACACATTAAAATTAAATTTAACTGAATTTCATTTGGCCACTTGGGGGCAACAGTGTGCACAACAAGCTGCACGCTAACATATTTGTTATGGCTAACACTCATTTAGCAAAGTAGTTGATGGTAGTTCATATAGATATAGATATTAGCCTACTGTTAAACTGGCAATATGACTACCCACATAACATATATAAGTCCAGTGTCTTTACATTTTATCTCTTTTATTTTTGTTGTGCTCTTAATTTAGATCCACAGCAAAATATGTAATTTCTTACCTAGCTAACTGTTTAGAACATTAGCCAAATTAGCTAGTGAGGTCAATTTCATGGTATATCAGTGTAGATATTAACCACAATAACAACTTGCCACAATACAATAATCGAGGCTATGACAATATGCAAATTTTTATCAAAGAAGAAAAAAAAAAACCATTTAAAAGGCAGAAATTATTTTATTTATTCTTCTATTCTAACTTTTGTTATGATATTATTCAATTTTAATTATGCATCAATTAAGTTAGTTGTTTTTCACTGACAAGTTTTTTGTTCTTTATAACAATGTTACTAACTTCTGTTTTCTATACCCTTATTATAAGCCCCTCCTTGAAAAAGTAACTAAGTCCTAACTTTGGTATTTTAAATTGACCAGTGATTGCAAGAGAAACAGATTGTTGTGCCGTATTCATACTTGCCAACTGCTAGTGTGCTGTAACAAAAACCCAAAAAACAAAAAACCCCACGCAAAGAAGTTACTGAGATCGTTTTGCCTTATGAGAACAAAAGCATCCCTCTGTCTAACTAAACCATTACCTTTGTCTGTGTGTCTGTCTTGTGGTATCCGGAGAAGCAGTAGACCCTGTGTGCACAGATGACAGAGATGTCCAAAGGGAATCTGTTTTCCTGTGGTGAGGCTGGTTTGACTGTTTGATACTGTTTTTGGTTTCCTCACTTTGTTCTCAGCTGCTCCCCTCCTGGGTGCAAATTCCCACACACAGCCCACGCTGGACTTAAGCATAACATCGGATCAAGCTATTATCCCAGGTTGGTTAACAACCCAGTGAGAAAGTGTTTATGAATAGACATGTCTGTTTATTGACATGGCATTTGTTGCACTAAAGCCTGCTTTGTATGAAACAATCCTTCATTTTCTTAACAGTATGGAATGTGAAAGGTGCTCTGCATTACACATTAAAATGCTACTGTATAACGATTTTATTGACTGTGTAATGCTTTAATTACGGGGATTCATTCTGTTATTTTTGTGGTCTTGCAGGATGGTTGTGCATGATATAAATAAGCCACCTTTAGGAAGAAAGAAGAAAGGTTATCAACAGAACACACAGACACAAAGATTAAAACAAACAAAATCACAGCTTAAAACTTGATTAATACTTTCTGATCTTTAGGTTCAAGAACCAAAATAATTTTTTCATTCATATTTCTACTAGTAAGCTCAGTTTTCTTTTTACTGATAAGCTAAAATATCCTCAGTGGTTCATTAGTAAATTCAAATATTCCCTCTCAAACACCCATACACCGTGTAGTCTCATCACCATCTAACAAAATATGTAGCAGCTCGCAGCCCCGGCCCATCCTCTGCCTCATAATCAGGATTTAAAGTAATCTTTGCCACAAAAAGCCTGATTAGTTCTACCCTGCCTACAGTGTTTGTGTCTGTATGTGTGTGGTGTCTGCTGTCTGTGTGTTTTATGGGTCCACCAGAGGCACCAAAGAATAATATTCAAAAGTCATACTTTGTAGCTTTAATTAACATTTGATGATTTCAACAACTGCTGATTACATCAGTTTTGATTTATTTTGCTAAGACAAGTCAATGTTCATTTTTTAGCTTATATTTGAACCAGGGGCGATTCTAGGATCAGAGCTTTGGGGGTGCTGAGCACCCAGAGAGCTGCCCATCCAGGCAAGGTAAACTTTACTCATCACAATGAGACTTCTTCCCTGTCTCTGTCAGTCCCTCCTTAAATGTCTCCAGTTGTCACCAGTTCTCTCTGACTGTCTCCTTGGTGCATTTAAACCCCTGTTCCTCTCTGTCCTCATCGTCTGCTGACTTCATCTCCATTATCAGTCATCATAATTTTACCCTCTCTGTGCAAGTCTGCAAATTTCTTTATTAAATCATAAGATTCTTAAATTCATCAAGTCTCTCTGTGCCTGGGTCCTCGTCACAAAACATGACATCACTGTTTTGTACGTTTTAACACAATTTAATCCCACATTTGTGAAAGAAAAGCAAAACACTTTTTTGAAAAGTCTGTAACAAAACCATCAAATCTGATAAAGGTTATTTAAATGCTGCAAAAGAAGAATGGATTGGAATAAAAAAAAAACATATCCTAACCTTAATTACTGCGGGAGAATAATGAATGATGCTCACAGTGAGTAAAAAGTAAACT